CTGTAGCTTATTGGCTCAAAGTTCAAAGGAGAGCACTAGCTTCAAGGACATAAATCGCTGAGTTGTTATCCACTGATTTGTAACAACTGTGGATGAACAACATTTATCTAGACAATCTAGTATCTTTTACTTGCAGTTTGAGGTCAGTGTATATATAGGTAGGGGCTTGCATAGGTAGTTTAAACTGTTCTGCAGAGATGAGAGTTCAAATTTATTTTTATTCTCTAATTTGAAGTAGTAGGTGGATTTGTGTGCCCTTTTCAGCAGCTGCTTTAATCTCATTTTGTCCATCCTCAAAGCTTTATTAGTCTCCATCTCAGCTATGGAGTCATCTGAAATTAAGTTGTTTAGAGACAGAATTTTATGATCTGGCACCCTGCTGTTTGATATTTGTTTGATATGTGTTTATTCTTTTCCCCACAAATTGACTATAAATTCTGTAATATGCTATTACATATGAAAAATACGTGGTAGCATGACTTACAAAGGCAAATACTTAAAGATCTAAAAGGACCATTAAGTAAAACAGATGACTGATCTGCTAGAAGGGGTCCATGTAAAGATGAGAATATACATCCATGTTTAAATTAGCCTAATTCTAGCAGATTCTTACCTTGTGGAAATGTGAGCTTGATATTGTTTAAACAAAATTAATCCACTGGTGCTATTTGACCTGTGGCCTGTCAGTTTGCTAATTCTGAAGTGCAACATTGTCTGAATACACAGAAAATGGCTTTATAGTACTTGTTTGATTCAGTATTGTTTTGTAATACTGCCTACCCTGCTTTTGAAGAACTATCATAGATGTAATATGTATACTTACATATAAAACATGTAAGAATGTTGTCATCTGTTGAAGGATTTGCCCATTTTGAAAGATGATATGTACACCGATAAAGAGATTAACTTCACTCTTAACAAAGTGGATATTAAGTCATTATTTTTATGCTCATGGAAAGTCCTTTGGATCACTTTTCAAGTTAGAAACCATGATAATACAGTGTAGTAAATGACTGCGTATTCTGAAGGCATTCAAAAGAATGATATCACCTGACACTGTGGTACACACCTGTAATCCTAGCTACCGAGGGGGGCCGAGGCAGGGAGACCAAGAATTCAAGACTAGTCTGGGCAATACAATGAGACCCCATCTCAAATAAGACAAAACAAAAGAATGACATGGTGAATTTTTAGAATATCTGAGTGCCTTGAAATTAAGGTATCTATTTTTAGTTCTTGAATTCTGGAGTGATCTTTCATTCTTCCTTTCTCCTTCTAAACAATATTGTTAATGTATTTTCCCAATGGTTTTTTGAAATATTTCCTGCCTCATTTCTTCCATTTCATTCCTGTAGATGTCATCATTTGAACTTTTTATTACACATGTTGGGATGTAAACGCTAGCCCCTAGCTACCTTTGTGTGTGTGTGTGTGTGTGTGTGTGTGTGTTGGGGGTGGTGTATTAAGGTTTGAACTCAGGGCCTTGTGCTTATCAGACAGGTGCTCTACCACTTGAGCCACTCCGCCAGCCCGAGCTCCATGTAATTTGAATGCCTAACACCCCGTTCATGTGTGGTAGTAGGCACTAAACAAATATTTCTGAACTTTTTAAAAATTTTTCCTCATTCATATATTATGTTGTAAAATTATACAACACAAATTTCACCATTTTAATCATTTTTAAGTGAACAATTGTGTGGAATCAAGTACATTCACATTTACATGTGAAATATTTGTGTTTTGTCACTGGCTTATTTCACTCAGCATGTCTTCAAGGATCAGCCATAGTAGCGTGTTTCAAAATTTTCTTTTTAGGGCTGAATAATCGTTCATTTTATTTATATATCCCATTTTGTTTGTCCATTCATCTTTCAGTGGACACATTGGTTTCCACCTTTTGCTAATTGTGGTGTATATGGATGTACAAATATCTGTTGTACTGCTTGCTTTTAATTCTTTTGGGTATATACATAGAATTGGAATTGTTACACTACATGGTAATTCAGTGTTTAATTTTTTTTTTTTTTTTTGCAGTGCTGGGGTTTGAACTCAGGGCCTACATCTTGAGTCACTCCACCAGCCCCCTCCTTTTTTAAAAAGTGGCACTGGGATTTTGAACTCAGGGCCTCACGCTTGCTAGGCAGGTGCTCTACCGTTTGAGTCACTCCACCAGCCCCAGCCCCCAGCTCTATTTTGTGGTGGGTTTTTTTGAGGTAGGTCTCATAAACTATTTGCTTGAGCTGGCTTTGAACTGCAAACCTCCTGATCTCTGCCTCCTGAGTACCTAGGATACAGGCATGAACCACTGGCACCTGGCTTATGTTTAATTTTTTTAAATTAATTTTTAAAAAAAGAATCTCTACACAGTTTTTCATAGTGTCTTACCATTTTTTACATTTCCACCAACAATACATAAGGGATTCAGTTGCTCTCGCTCCCTTCCTTCCAATAGCCATCCTATTGAGTGTGAAGTGACACCTTTTTATAGTTTTGATTTGCATTTTCCAAATCACTAGTAATGTCTAGTGTCTTTTCATGTGCATATTGACCATTTGTATGCCTTCTTTGAAAAAATGTGTAAGTCTGCCCATTTAAAAAATTGGGTTATTTTTGTTTTTGTTGATTTATAGGAATTCTTTATGAATAATTATAGCTATTAACTGCTTATCCCCTGTGATTTGCAAATATCTTATCCATTTTATGGGTTGCCTTTTTGCTGTTTTGATTGTGCCCCTTGATGTACACATTTTAAATTTTGATGAAATCCATTTTATCTTTTTTTCTTTTATTGCCTGGACTTTTGTTCTAGCCAATAAATCATTGCCAAATTCAATGTCAAAAAACTTTTACCCCTGTGTTTTCTTCTAGAATTTTTAGTTCTTCTGGTTAAGTTTTTTCTTATTTTGAGTTAATATTTGTATATTGTAACATGTGCATCCATCTTCGTTTTTTCGCATGTTCACATCCAGTCTTCCTGACATCACTTACTGAAAAAACTCTTTTCCCCACAAATGTTTTCTCTTATTTACGTTTGAGTGAATGATTTTCAACTGTATCAGTATCTTTCAAGATCTTTCACAGCACTGCCTTATTATAAACTTGCTTAGGCTTTATTCCCTACTTGGAAATAAAAGACTTGGCAGATCTGTATGTTGACAGCAGATCACCATTTATTATATCTTCTATGCTCTTGCTAGGTGGTTGATTTAGAAACTGTCTTTGCTTTGTACTTTAGCTCTTTTCTGGAAAGTTAGAGAAAACGTTATATACTTTGCTTATCTTTTAAATAACAGCCCTTTTCTAAATCTGAAATTTTGTTTTTAGCTCACTTAGCCTCTCTGGGCATTAGATTGTTTTACTGGAAAATTAGAGGGTTGAACTAAATTTCTGTTGTATATTCTTTACTGTGAAAATTATATGATTCTGACATACTTATGAAAGGCTTTTAATCAATTAACAAAAATTCAGTGGAAAGTAAAACAGCTTTAGGATATATAAGGAATGCATTAACACTGTTATCCTTAGAGTTTTATTCTCTTTATAAGTTTGTCTACACTTTTGCTGTTTTCTCCGTATCTAAAGTTTTAACACAGCTACAATTAGTCTCTTTCAATGGTAAAAACTTACTTTTGGGGCTGGAGGTGTGGCTCAAGTGGTAAAGTGCCTGCTTAGCTACCGTGAAGTCCTCCTGAGTTCAAACCCCAGTGCCACCTAAACAAAAACATACACAAAAATGAAATAAATAAAGAACAAAAAGAAACAGAAAAACTTAGTTTCTAAGTGTTATTGTAATTGGTAGCATTACTACCTCTATCTTCTATGTACATTAAGGAGAATGGGCATAAATTAATGTACACCAAAAGCCAGGTGAAACAGTGAGGAGAGCCCTGAGAATAATCTTTCTCCTAGAAAGTCAAAGAATTCTAAAACCTAGAAAGGGAGAATTTTGGATGCTGTATCTGGATCTATCTTTGAGAGGCCCGTGATTGTATAGTGCATGTGCTTGTACTGATTAAGATTACCAAAATCCACTGTCTCTCTTCTTAGCTATTATGTCTATTGTGTGATTACTTAAACTTTCCTATTAAACTACAGTTGGCTATCACATACTCTAATTCATTGCAGAATTTTTGTCATTGCTGTAATTGCTTCCTGTCTTTTTTTATAACATTATGTGAAAATAAAAATGATGTTTATTGAGTGTTTGATACGTTTGTTTGAATTTTATTCCTTTTATCTCTTTCCAAGGAAAATGATGTTTTAGTGATGGTGTTTTATAAGGAACTCTTCCAGATGCCCAGAAGAGAAGTTAATTCATTATATTCAGTGACTCTTTAAAAATGTTAGGGACTAATTCTCTTAGTTGAAAAATAGTGACTACTTAGTTAGGAGGACATGGATGAGGTGAGATGTGAATTTGAATTTTAATCTGTCTGAATGTATTATCCTGACTACTAAATTAAAGTGGTGTAGTACTTTGAAGAGTTTCATTTAGCATCATGGCTCATATATTTAAGCAAAGAAATACAAATATTGACTATTCAAGTCATAGCAGCAATTCATTTATGTTTAAGTATTGTGGAGTGCAGATGCAAACTGGACTGCTACTAACAATTTTGAGCAGCAGTACTTATATAAAATTGAAATGGGAAGTAAATCTGGCATGCACTAGCAAAATTTAGGAATATATCTAACTAGAGAATGTCTTTGGTAAAAGGTCAGAAATGCAGTCTTTGGAGACTGATAAAAAAATAATAGATAAAATAAGGAATGATGTGCTCAATGAGCTACAATTCAAATAGAGGAAATTTACTGGGAAATGATTACATTAGTAGCAGATGGACATGCTTCCTGAATTGTAATCTTAATGGAAATCCTAGAACAGCTTAAATTTGTTTTTGAGATTTAGAGCATGATAAAAAGATAGATGAAGAGATTTGTTTATTTTGTTGTGCTGTTATGATTCTTATTATGTGTTTTGTATGTTTCATTTGTCCTAGGCTATTTTTATGATCCCCACAAATCCACCACCAACATTCAGGAAACCTGAGCTTTGGTCTGATGATTTCACTGATTTTGTTAAAAAGTGCTTAGTGAAGAATCCTGAGCAGAGAGCAACTGCAACACAACTTTTACAGGTCAGTACTTATAAAGGAATATATTTTTTCTTCATACCTTTTACTTTCTGACATTGACCAGAATTACAGTGACTTTCATAAATGTTTTCTAAAGATTTAGAACTCTTAGGAAGTACAGATTGTATCTCATTTTCTGTTTTCCAGGTTCAGTCTTCTGCCTTTTTCCTCTCCCCCCCTTCTTTGTTGTTAACTCTTTTTCCTTAAACCTATTTTAAAACAATCTTCCAAAGCATTCTCATTTCAATAATGAGTTCTTATCTCCATAGTTGTTATTTCTCATGGCTTTTATGTTTGTTGACTCAGCATTTCTCCATTGACTTTTTGTTCTACTATAATATATGCAAATATAAGATCCCCAAACTCCTTGAAAAGATTATTACATGTTATAAATACTAGTTATAAGATTATCTAAATGAAAAAAAAAGTTTTAGTATTCCTACTGTAAACAGACTTTGTATCCAGAATGTCAGAAAGCCTTTTTAAAATCTGCCTTGAAATTTAATTCAAAAGAAATAATTTAGTACTTATAAGTATTTGTGAAACTTTCTTTCCCAAACACAATTGCCTTAGAACTCTCAACTAATCATAAGTGTGTCTCACATTAACAAATTTACATTTGCAAAATATTTCTTACTTTTAACTGATAAAAGAATTCAAACTATGTTTTTTGTAAAATGTGGCTTGGAGTGGTAGCTCATGCCTGTAATCCAGCTATGTATGAGGTATAGGCAGGAGGATAACTGAGGCTGGCTTACATGATAGAGCACAAGGCCCTGAGTTCAAACTCCAGTACTGCCAAAAAAGAGTGACTTTCCAAGGTACCATTTTTTGAAAAAGATTTGTTAAAATATATGGGAAATAGGCTCATAAATGTCATGTTTATTGTTATGAATACCAAATCTAGTGCTCAGTCTCCATGGAAACTGGTTTGGCAATATCTATTTAAAATACAGATTTGTGTATTTTTTATTTCATCAGTTATACATCTAAGAATTATACAGGAAAAATTTAAACATGAGTGAAATAATATAGAACGTTCTATTAGTGAAAGAGTAGAAACAGACTAAATATGTGTCAACAAATGGGAAATAATCTAAGGTCCAGTAAGAAAAGTGATTGGAAAAATACACCTACATATACATGTAAATAAACTTTTGCCAGTGCTTAGAAAGGAGTATCTTTGGAAAAATAAATAAGGAACTGGCCCTAAGGAATGGTAGTTAATTGCAAGGATAAGAGGCAGGAGTGGGGTGGAAACTGACTTTTCACTGAATACTCTTTATGAGACTTTTTGAGTTTGGAGTTATTACTCAAGTATTACTTTTAAAACTTGATTACTTAATGGTTAAGATGATAAATTTTATGTTATGTATATTTTTTTCACAAAAAAATGAAAAATGAATAGAACATTAATTTTAAAATATTGTCAGTATTCCAAAGAAGTATTAAGTATATAAATCAAGAGCCTATTGATTTTATTATAATAATGAGTATATGAATTATTCAACCCAAAAAAAGAAGGCAACAAAAGAGAAGGTGGGGGAAGCAGAAAAAGAAATACTATAAGCAAATACTATAAAATATGATGGCAAAATAAATCAAATGTGCCTGATAACTAATTTTTGAATAGATAAACCCATATTTCCTTCTACAGTCTTTTCTAAACCTTCTAAAGAAAAGGAATTCTTTTGTTTTAATTTAAAAAGGATGGACAAGCACTTGAGAAATATTTCAGTATAATTCTCTACTTTCATGGATAAGAGTGCTGTACCCCAGAAAGGTTAAATGACTCACTGAGGATTCCCTATTGAAGCAGTCACTGTATTAGGTATATTCCATTTGTAGACATTTTATCTATTATGAATTAAATCAAGTGTTACTGTCAGAAACAGTCTTATTACCAAGTTTTAGCAGACACATGTCTATAACTTACATGTACAAATTACAACATTGATTTGTAGAGCCCAATAAATAATTAAAAAAATTTTTTTGGTAGTACTAGGGTTTAAATTCAGGGTCTTACACTTGTTAGGCAGGTGCTTTTCTTCTTAAGCCACTCCACAAGCCATTTTTGCTTTAGTTGTTTTTGGGGATAGACTCTTGCTTTTTTTGCCGAGGCTAGCCTGCACCCCTGTCCTCCTATTTATGCTTCCTGATCAACTGGGATGACAAGAGCACACCACCACCATGCTCAGCTATTAGTTGAGATGGGATTTTGCTAACTTTTTGCCAGGGCTGGCTTCAAACCATGATCCTCCCTATCTCTGCCTCCTGAGTAGCTGGGATTACAGTTGTGAGCCACTGCATCCAGCCCCAATAAACAAATTATAGAAAGAAATTTATTATGGATTTTTTTAATAGTGATTGATGTTTTGTGACACATGTTGTTTTGTACATTTAGGAATCATACACTGGAAGAATCCTTTTGAGATTAAGTTGAAATCATAGTAGTTTTTAAAAGATGAGGCAGTTGAAACCCCAGAGATGCTGTAAATCAAGGTTCAGTTTTGGTCTAGAAGTACTAGAATTTCTGATTTTAAGAGGATCTTATACGTGCTGGTGGGTAGCCCAGAACCTGATAGTCATCTCCTGCCCCAGTCTAGCTTCCTGTAAGAATATTAAGTTAACTAAGATCCGCCATTTTCTGAGTCAGCCCCTGGGTTTGGCTAGAACAGGTGCTGTCTTTGCAAATTCCCACAGTGTGTGACTTACTCTTTTATCAGTTCAATTGAAGTATAGAAGAAACTTTTCTTCCCTTTCTGATCATCCAATTATAATATAATTGCCTTAAGTACTTCCCCTACATTCATTGAGAGCCATTTCAGTTCTATGTTTGCTTTAAACTTAAAACATAATTGAGGAAACTCAGTTGAGGAAACAAGGGAATTTACTGCTAGCTTTTATCTTTCTGCTGTTCCTTTTCTTGATATTCCATAGTTATTTCTTAAACAGAACTTCTTTATGTTTAAGTAACTATTTTAGTCATTCCTTTAGGAGAAGTCTGTGAAGATAACCTTTTTTAGTTTATGATTTCCCTTTCGTTCATAGTGGATATTTTTGCTGGCTATAGTATTATGAGTTGACAACTCTTTTTCTTACAGTATTTAAAAAATGCTACACTACTTCCTTCTGGCTCCAAGGTTTCCTATGAGAAATCTTCTGCCATTTGAATTCTTACCTCTTGCTTTCTTCAAGATTCTTTTGTTTTTAGTTTTTAGAAGTTTAATTATCATGTGTCTTGTTGTGGATCTCTTTGGAAATATCCTGTTGCGAGGTTGTTTAGCTTCTTGAATCTGTAGGTTTATGTCTGTTGTCAAATTAGGGAAGTTTCAAATACTTTTTCAGCACCACCTTCTTTCTCTTCTTTTTACTCCAGTGGCACAAGTGTAAGATCTTTCGTTTCAGTCCCACAGGCCTCAAGCCCAAATTTGTTTTCTCTTTGTGTTTCAACTATGTATTTTCTCTTTCAGTTTGCCTGTTCTCTTGCTCTTGAGCCCACCAATTGAATTTCTTAGTTACTGTATTTCTCAATTCTAAAATTTTCATGTTTATTTAAAAAAATTTCTTCTTTCTTTACTGAGACATTCTAAATCTTTTGTTTATAATCATGTTTGCAATTTCTCATTGCTTCAAAATCCTTATCAAATAATTCTAACACCCATGTGATGTCTTTTTCCTTTTTAAATTGAAAAGCTCCTGGTCGTTGGTATGATGAGACATTTTTAATTGAAACCTGGACATTGTAGTTGTTATGTTATAAAGACTCTAGATCATACTTATGTTTTCTTTCTCCTAAAATATACAGTAATATGGATTGAACTCAGGCCTCATGCATGCTAGGCAAACACTCTACCACTGAGCGACACTCCCTAGCCCTTTATTTAAATATTTTGTTCAGAAAGCATCCTCTTTCAGTGTTCCAGTGGGTGTAGAGGTGTATCTCCCTATTTGCTGGTGAGCAGGAGAAGTCCATGTTCCTTACTTGGTCTCCTTTGCCATGCAGGCAGGAAGGGCTTGTTATTCTTTCATGAGAGTGGTAGTTCCTCCCATGACTTCTACTGCTGTTGTGGGGGATGATCTCATTATAGCTGAGTAGTGGTGACAGTTCAGAGTCTGTACTAGGCTGCTTGTGACCCACTTCCAACAGGGAAGGAATGGGGTTTCTTACTACTGTCTGGGCTTCCCCATAATCTTCACTGACACTCTCCACTTTAGGAGGAGGTATTTTTACAGTATCTGATAGAGAATGCCCTAGGCTAGCACTTAGTCTTTTCTGAAACCATCTCAGTAGAAATCCTGAACAGCTTCAGGAGGTTGGAAATCTAAGTTCCCCACTCAGCCTTTGCTACTAGGGATGGAGCCATAGTATTTTTCTGTCATGTTTGGCTGGAGTAAAATGGTTATTGTCTAAAAGTGTTCTGTCTAGCCTGGCTGTCTATCTCCTCACTTTTTGTATTGAGAGAGAAGGCTTTTGTAGGGGCCTTTCAAGTCTGTGTCCATGTTTTCTGGCTTCTCTAGTACCCAGTCTAGGATAAATGAAGTTAAAAAGAAAACTCATGGAACTCACAGCTATGTCTTTTCTGGATCTCACCATCTCTAATTAGTCTGTTGACTTTTACCTTTCAGAGAAGTTTTCCTGATTTATTTCATATATAATGTCTAGAATTTTAGCAGTGGGGAGGTACAGGGAAAAATATAGCTACTCGATCTGTGTAGAAGCACAAATAATTTCTTCAGTTTACTTTAAACTCTTTTTTTCTCTGAAGCTTTTTTGTTAAACCATTAAGCTAATTCAGAACTTAAACACAATTCAAATAAAATACTCTAGATATTAAAAAATATAAAAATTTCAAACAGTCTTAAGTGATCAAGCTGTGGTAAGTTGATTTGGGGATAGTTTCTGTTTTTTTCATTTGTTTAGTGGTTTAAGCAGCCTCACCCATTTTTAGTTTATCTCAGGGACGCATGACCATGCCCAGCTTATTTGTTGAGATGGAGTCTCACTAGCTTTTTGCTCAAGTTATCCGACAACTGTGACCCTCCAGATCTTTGTTTCCAGAGTAGCTGGGATTACAGTGTGCCACCACACCCAGTCCTTATTATAGTTTTTAAAAACTTAATTCCTTGATCTGTAATTTACATTGGTGTTTCTGAGGTAGGATCTAGTTTAATCCCCTGGTCAAAAAAAAAAAAAAAAAGATAACAATTACCTTAGTACCAGTTTGGGTTTAAATCGTGTTTTCCCTGCTGAATGAAAATGCTCTCTTTATAATATACCAGTTTTCTTGTATCTTATGTTTCATTTCTAGGCATTCTGCTCTGTTCTTTCTGTTCTCATTCTGGAACCGTATGCTTTTCTAGATATTTAACAAAAAATGTAGCTTCTATTCGTTGATTATAAAGAATTTTTTTCTATGAAATCAGTCATTTTATTCAGATTTTAAAAATTTTTTTCTATACTATTTTTCAGTGAATGAACCTCTTCTTGTTTCTACAGTTTTTGTTATGTATACTAATATAGCATACCAGGTTTATAAGTAAAGCTTCTTTTATATTATGTCCTTTATTAGTGTTAAATGACTTCAGCTTACTGTTTTCTTCTTTGAATTCTGCTTGTTTTGGTAATGTTATTCATGATAACGTCTTATGTTTGACCAGTATTTCCTGGCCTGTTAGCTTTTAACCCAACTTCTTTTAAGTATGTCTCTTAGAGAAACACAAGTTGGATTTACCTCATATAAGTATATCTCATGTACAAAGCATATTGTTGAATCATATAAGTATATCTCATGTATAAAGCATGTAGTTGAATTTGTCTTAGAAAATAGAAATCCAACCTGTTCATTTACAATATAATTATATGCTGATGCCATTTTATCACAGTTGTATTTTTTTGCCATCTTATTTTTTCTACATTCTTTTTAGTGTTGCTTTACAATTTTAATTTTACCTACCTGCTATTTTAAAAAAAGGAAATAATATACTTCAAAATTTAGCAAGGTCTGTGATAAAACTTTTCTTCTCACTATCAGGAATGCTCAAATAACTTGTTCTTCAAGTTCCTTTTTAAATTTACTAGCCATTTCTTCTTTGTTGCTCAAAATTATGTTCACAGCAGTTATGTAGAGAAAGCATGAGTATAAGTGAAATTGGATAGTTTAAGAACAATAAGCTCTATATGAAGGATGGCTCATCATTTTCCCTGGGTAGCTAACAAAAGTATAAAACAGTTTGAGACTTCTATCCTATTTATTTATTAATTTTGGCAGTGCTGGGATTTGAACTCAGGGCCTCACACTTGCTAGGTAGGCGCTCTACCACTTGAGCCTCTCTGCTGGACTCCCTTTTGTCTGCATGTGCATGGGTTGAGTATTTTTGAGACAGGGTCTTGTTTTTGGCCCTGGCTGGCCTTGAACCTTGATCCCCCTGATCTCTGCCTCCTGAGTAGCTAGGATTACAGGTGTGAGATGTAATTCACACCTGTTTTCAGTTTTTGCAGTTTTGATTTCCCACTTCTGATAATACAGGTTGAATAGGCCTTATCTGAAATACTTGGGACCAGAAGTGTTACAGAGTTCAGTGGTTTTTGGATTTTGGAATACCCAAAACTAGAATTCCAGTTGATTTTCCCTAATCTGAAAATCCAAAATCCAGAATGCTCCAGAACCTGAAACTTTTTCGACTAATAATTTCATTTCCACCAAATCCTTCCGTTTTCCATCAGATTCACCATTTCTTTTTTGGCAACTACATTTTATAAACCAGGCTCTTAATTTACACCTACATCTTCTCATTCCATTTCACATCTAAACTCTCCTACAAGATTATTCTATCAAAGACATATTTCTGGGTTTTGAACTCAGGGCCTCACACTTGGTAGTTAGGCGCTCTATTGCTTGAGCCACTCTGCCAGCCCAATTATTCTCATGTATATGTAATTAAAGTAGTTCTCAGAAAAAGTCCAGGCATTTATCTTGCTTGCCTCACTACTGCCCAAATCTAAATTTATAGATTATTTCTCTAAATAGTGTTTCTGCTTTGGCCAAATAGATCCTCCTACTGTGTTCTAACCAAACATTCCCTATCTTTCTGTCTTTGTGTTGCTTTACTCTGTCTTCTAAAGTGTTTCTTCTGCATGAGGCATCTATGAATACCTTTTCCATTCCTTTTTTTTTTTTTTCCTTTTTTGGGCAGAGGTCAGAGGCTGCTGGAGACTGAACCAGGGCCTGCATATACTAAGTTTTTACTAGACTATTGAGCTATCCCCTGGCTTATTCAATTTTACATGTCTTAAACATATAGATTGCTCTAAGTCATCATGAATATAATTTGTGTGTTATATTGTAACTTTAACATGTATGTCTATCTTTTCTTCCCTATTTTAGGAAATAAGTTCCTTAAGAGCGAGCATATAGGGCTGGGATGTAGCTCAGTGGTAGAGTGCTTGCCTAGCAAGCACCTAGCTCATGCCTAGCATGCGCAAGGCCCAGGTTCAATCCCAGCACCAAAAAAAAAAAAAAAAGAAAAGAGCAAGCATATGTTCTTTTTTTGTGCTGCTGCTTCCTCCTCCTTTTTTCTTTCTTCTTCTTTGTGATCTTTCTAGTGTTTCAGTTTTTGGGTTTTTTTTTTTTTTTTGGGCTTGAACGCAGGGCTTTCACCTTGAGTCACTCTGCCAGGCCTTTTTGTGATCAGTATTTTTGAGATAGGGTCTCGTGAACTATTTGCCCGGGCTGGCTTTGTACCATAATCCTCCTGATCTCTGCTTCCCGAGTAGCTAGGATTACAGGTGTGAATCACCAGCACCTAGCTCAAAAATTTTTAGAGTAGGACAGAGGTTCCTTGCTTCTTGTTGCTCTAGGACACTGTATTTGTTCTTGTAGTTGTTTGAAGTTGCATCAGAAATACTTCTGTTTTCCAAGAAACTTAGTATAAAAGGAAGAGATCATGGATGAATGCATACTCCATGTTTTATGGCCCAAACCAGGAAGTGGAACCCAACCTAGCACTCATTCCATTGGTGAGAACTTGGTCACTTAGTCACAAGCAGCTGAAAGGGAAACTGAAAAATGTAGGATCCAGTTGAACATCTGTAGGTCCAACCATAACTCTGTTTTGGTGGATGACAAGAAGTCTCCTACCCAAATTTTGTGAATAAAAATTTACCTGATGATTAATCTGTAATCATTAAAAAACAATTATTGATTCTTGTAATCAATCCTAATATTTCTAAACTGGTAAAATTCTTACTATATAGTTTTTCCAAATATTGTTTACTATCTTAAGGCCTCTTCTAAATGTCTTCTTTATCACTAATTTTTTGTCTTGGAGTATATTTTTGTATTCTAAATAAATTGCTTTTACCTCATATATATATTGCCATAATAATTATGAAAATTGCATTTTGACACGAGATTGTTGGATTAATGCTTCCAAATAAGTTTATCTAGTCCAAATTACATTTATGATTTCTCCATCTACTTTCTCTCATTTTCCTCACTCTCAATAAAAAGTGAATGTTTATTCTGATGGTTTCCTTTTTGTCCATTAAATTTATAATGTGTAACATAATAGAGAATTTAGCTGTTGTAGCTAGATCAGAGTAATATAAAAGAAAAGTGGTACATGTTTTACATACGGTATAAAAACGAGGCAGGTTATTTCCTAAAAATATTTTTCTGCCTTCATTGGAAATGATTAAGTTATTTAAAACACAATAAAATAGATAATATGTAAAAGAAATAACAAATTAGTTGCCCTTCTTTTGGCCACTGATTTTTCACTGTCAGCTTAATAAGAGTAATTAAATTCTTTAACTTGGTACCAAAAGAAGCTTATTTTTATGGGTAATGTCATTTTTAAAATTTTTTAAAATTATTTTTGCCACCAATTGTACGCTTCCTTTGGGAAATTATACCTTTAAGGATAATGTAGCTTTATTGACAGCATTATGTTTTTTTGTGTGTGCTTTAAGGTTGTTTTTTAAGGAAACAGCTAACTTCAAAAACAAAATATTTTTTCTAAAGCAGCCAAAATATTTTGTTTTCTTAACACAGTTATAGGTGAAAAAACCAAATTATTCAAGTCTATGATCCTGATTAACGTTTACTAGTATCATATTTGTTAGATATAATTCAGAAAAACATTTTAAATTTATAACATTGGATTTTACTCTTCTAGCATCCTTTTATTAAGAATGCAAAACCTGTGTCAATATTAAGAGACCTGATCACAGAAGCTATGGAGCTCAAAGCTAAAAGACACGAAGAACAGCAGCGAGAATTGGAAGAGGAAGAAGAAAATTCGGTTTGTAATTTTCCTAAGAAAGTTGATTTTTTAAAATCTTCTGGGTCATTTTTCTATAATTTCATTTGTTTCTTAAAATACAGTAAGAGTGCTTATAGTTATATTACACAAGTGAAATGTGTTTTCATTAAATCTTTAAAAACTTTTTTTTTTTGTTGGAGGGACTGGGGTTTGAACTCAAAGTTTTGTGCTTATGGAGCAGGTACTCTACCACCTGAGCCATGCCTCCAGTCTTAAAAACACATTCTTTTCCATTAAATTGTTGCTATTCTTTTCTGGTCTCTTAAGAATTAAGGATCAGTGGAGTGTAATGTTAATATAGTAGAACTGTACAATAATTAGTATCTAGCTAACACTTTCTGCTGACTAAGTGTTGTTTTTGAATTGGAACAATTTTTTGTCCTATCTTCTGGATCTTGCTTTTAACTGGTCATCAGCTATGCTGTAAAAACCGAAAATAACATGAAAATAACAAATATTGATGAGTATGTGAAAAAAAATGGAGCCTTTATGCATTGCTGATGGGAATGCAAAATGGTACAGCCTCTGTGAAAGACAGTTTGGTGGTTTCTAAAACATTAAACACAGATTTAGCAGTTCTAATCCTAGGTACATACATATGGTTGCCCAACTTACAATAGATCGACTCAGTGATTTTTTACCTTTACAGTGATGTGAAAACATACCTATATAACCATTCTGTTTTTCATGTAAAGTATAATATTCATTAAATTAGCTGAGATATTCAGCATTTTGCTACAAAATAAGTCTTGTGTTTTTTCCCAACTGTAGGTTAATGTAAATAGTCATGTAAGGTAGACTAGGCTAAAGCTATGATGTTCAGTAGGTTAGGTGTGTTAAATGTCTATATTCAAGATCGGAAGAATTTTCACCTTTTGAGGGTAGGACTTTGAAAATATTGTAGACATACATTTCTTATTTTTAATGATTTTTTTTATTCTCTGGAGTAAAGCTAGTATTTCTGAGTAAAACTATTATGTTCTTAGTTGTATTAAACTGCAAGCATAAGAAAAAAAATTTTGTCTCGGCAGTGTCATACATTGAACTATATTCGTGTGCTTTGCTTTAGATTATGTTCTCAGGCAGGAGTTTTTCATATTCATTTTATCAGTTGTCCTTAATATACAACACATTCTCTCTCTCTCTCTCTCTCTCACACACACACACACACAAAGATTTATAAGTATGGTGAGGTGTGCAGAATAGATATAAAAGTTATAAAAAAAGTTTATAAAAAGATATAAAACTATGTTGCCATTTAGTTTTAGCAGAATTTTAAATCAGTAGTCTTACTATTTCTGGAACATTTGTCCACATTTAAGTCTCAAAATTTCATATAGAGAGTTTATGCTGTTTATTCCTCTGGGGTTCTTTTGCAAATTGGCCTAAATTGGATTTGCATATATTACTTTATAATAAAATAGCTAACTTCTTTTTTTTTATTGTTTTATTATTCATATGTGCATACAAGGCTTGGGTCATTTCTCTCCCATGCCCCCACCCCTCCCTTACCACCCACTTCACGCCTTCCCTCTCTTCCCCACCCCCTTGATACCCAGCAGAAACTATTTTGCCCTTATCTCTAATTTTGTTGAAGAGAGAGTATAAGCAATAATAGGAAGGAACAAGTGTTTTCGCTGGTTGAGATAAGGATAGAAAATAGCTAACTTCTCATAGAACTACATATGTCTTGATGTTCATTTGAATGACATAAATTGTCATTATGTAATTATGCTCTTTATTTTTAATAAGAGATATTTTCACAAAATTTATACTCATTTTGACCAAATAAGCACAAAGTTTGATATAGATTGTATGTATATAAAATTGTAGACATATAGGATTTTTTTCTTATTCCCATTTAGATTATATTAATTTATTTGTAGTATTCATGATATAAGCATGCAGTTTGATAACTTATTATCTTACAAGTAGTATTCATTCTCATGTAGATTTAAACTAATATAAGTTGATTTTTAAGCAAATTTTAAGCTTGCCATTATGGCTTATTGAAATTTTATGCAGGCATTTGAATGTGTGTTTAAATATGTGTACAGTAAAAGAGTTAGTGTTTGTTGTTTTAATAAAATAACAAGGCACATATTCTACACATGGTACATTGATTAGTTAAATGTGGAATGGATGGTGTTAATAAATTGAATTTATAAGATAATGAATGGAATACACCATTGACAAGTGGTTGTGTTTAAAGTACATTAAAAGATTGATAAGTTTACAGAAACTGGTTTGTCACTGAAGCTCAGACATTTTCCATATGGGTCACAATGTTAAGAAAAATACAAAGAGTTGAATAGATGTAGAAGAAATTTATATTAAGTGAACAAAAACCATAGGCTTACATGAGATTTTTTTCATTTTTATGTATGTTCCAGGCCATTTATCTACAATTTTATCTAAAGAAAGGTGTTTTTTTATGTTACTTCATATTAGCTTAGTAATGATTCAAAGAAAAGAGTCTTATTAATTGTCCTTATTACTATGTCTTAGATCGTCTGTCTTTGGAAAAGAAATGGGGACTTTCTGGTGACCTCTTTATAGTCTGAACTCTTAGTAGTTTGAGCTGTGGTCCTTAATGGATATCCTATTTAAGTATGATTCACTGATGCAGTAGTTCTCAGCATGCGTGTGGGGGAAGTGTTAGGATGTTGTAGAAAACTCATTTCCCAGACTTTCTAGATAAGATGGCGAATTAAAAACTTTTTCCATGAGAAAGGTGATAGAATATCTTGAAAAGCATGGAGAAACAGGAAGGCTACACAGAGAAAAGTAGGAAACAGCTCCCAGCCCTAACCCAGCTCAGGGGTAGGGATGAGAGCCAAAGCCACAGCAAGGTAAGCCTGGTAGCCCTAGGGATAAGAGACTAGAGATCCTAGTCACAACGTGAATCCACAGTTCTCCCAAGACTTAAATCCACTTCGAGGATTTGGTGTGACAGTGATTCTTCCTGCACGATTGGCCTGCATTAGAGAAAAAATCCATTTTGTTGTTCTCTGCATCTTGGAGTACTATAGTCAGGTGCCATCTTGAGAAGGGACCTATTGTTTTATATTGAGCTATTGTGGGGATCTAAAAGAAGGTCAGAGGCCTGGGAACATCCTTCTCAGTGTCGGGGTGGGAGATAGCAATGGAAGGCAGTTGTGGAGAGGGATGGGTAAATGTGGACCCCTGAGAAGTCTAAGAAACAAGCAAGAAGCTCAGGGTATGGAGGGTGCAGTGGTCTGTGGCTGTACCCTCTGAAATGAGCCCCATAGCCTGTGGGCCACCACAGAAACTAAGATCTCCCAGCCTGTGGCCAGCAGATGGCTCAGCTTCCAAAGCTGATTCTCTTCTGCGTATGGCTTGCTGCTGGACAAATAAAAAATCCAAAGACACCAAGGATGTGTGCCAGATTCCCCCTCAGATCTCCACCTGTAGTGTAAAGCTCAGTGCTCTGTTTATTTCCCCCATTCTCCAGTGCATGTGGGGGATACCCAGTGCTTGGATGTTTGCCACCTGTGGGTGTACCAACTGTGGATCTTCTGGAGTGAGTGGGAACTTGCCTGGCCTACAGGCATCAAAGCTTGTTGGGGTCAGTAATGGCTCTGGGCATGTAAGAAGGCAAGTTTCTCTAGTGCAGCCCTGAAGGTGACAACTGACCCTTGACCACCGTGGCCCTTAGCCCGAATAGTGTTATTGCTGTTATGGTGGTTTGTTTTCTTTTTTATGTGCAGTCCTGTGGATTGGGCCCTCAAGAGAAGGCTGCTTATTAAGAAGACCCCTGAATAAAACTGAAAGAGATATTCATCAAAATAGATGCACAAATCACAACTTAGAAATGCAAGAGATAGGAAAAAGCAAGGCAATGTGACTTCAAAAAAAGATATTGTAAAGGCTGAAATACCAGACAAAGAATTAAAAAGTCTACTTTTAAAAATGTTCAGTGACCTCAGAAAAGGATTCAAATAAAGAGATGAATGAAGTAAAGAAACCAACTCAAGATCTGGATGGGAACATCAACAATTTAGATTAGAAATTCAAATTGATGAGAAATTTAGCAAAGAGATGGAGATTCTGAGGGGAAAAAATGGAAATCTTAGAAGTGAAAAGCACAATAAAAGAAATCACCAGTATAGCAGACCAGAGAGAAGAAAGAACATCAAGGATTGAAGCAAGCTTAAAATGGTAACAAAGAAAAATACTGAGCCTAAATGTGTAGTGAAAACTCAAGGCATAGAAAGTGCATCCAATGAAATCATAGTAGCAAATTTCTCAAAATCTAGGGAGAGAAATGGGCAACCAAGTGTATGAGACATTTAAAACCCTGAATAGACATGACCAGAAAAGAACCTGTCCACCTCATACTGTGGTTAAAATGAAGAGTACAAAACAACAACAACAAAATATACTGAGAGCTACAAGAGAGTTCTGCCAGGTTACATACAGAGGCAAACCTATGAAAATAAGAGCAGACCTCTCATCAAAAACTTTAAAGGACGAGAGAACACAGACTGATGTATGTGAAACAAAATAGCTGCCAACTGACACTATGTCCAGCAAAGTTATCTTTTAAAATTGATGGAAAAAATTTATCTTCAGCAATGCAGAAGATAATACTACACACAAAAGAGAAATATATACACAAGTATGAGACCTCAGGAAAGACTAAAGCTCACTAGAAGAATAGATAAGCAAATGAGTTACTGTGTCTCCTTAGGCTCCTTTTGATGTCACAGGTTTTTGAAATGTCCTTATTATTGATGATCTTGAGAGTTTTGAAGGGTACTGGTTAGATATTTTGTAGAATGTCTCTCAGTTGGCACTTTTTTTGTTTTTTCTTATGATGAAACTTGAATTATTGGTGTTTGAAGACTCAGAAAGGTTTATCATAGCCTATCAAGAGTACTTTCTGTCAACATGATTTATCACTGTTCGTGTTAACCACAATCACCTGGCTGAGATAGTATTTATGACTTTTTTTT